GTGAGAAAGCATGAGTTGGATGCACAACAGAAGACTCTGGCAGAAGTCCAAATGAGGGAAGTTTCTGCCCTTTCTTGATGAGGGGAAAAAATAGAAACAACTGACAGTTTCATGAAAGAATCACTAGGAGACACAAGAAAGACAAAACAGACCTGGGTTGCCCAAGACAGTCTGGAACTGTGCAACCAAAAAGGAAGCTTAGGTATTAGATGGAAGAAGCGGAGGCAGCACAGTACAGAAGAAATAAAAAGGCCTTGAGAAGAGAAAACAGGTAAACAATGGCAGTGTTTTACAAGAACATAGAACTTGAAGATCATACAGACTGTCCAGAAAGTCATCAAAAAGTAATACAGCAATGTCAGGGACAGATACTAGGAGCTTTCAAACAGAGCTGTTGCAGAAAGACACTGTAAACACCCTAAGGACTTCTGCCAAGGTAATCTAAATTTCCCTCTATCCAGCTAAAGCTCTTTCTCTTCATACCACCGCCAGCCTAGTGCATGAATACGGGCCAAAAGGAGATTTGCACGTGCCCAGGGAACTGAAGCAATAACCTGAAGCAATTACACCACTCTGTCACACATGTCTGTAAAGCACGGCAGGTACAACAAGTGCAGTGTGTCGTGACAAACACAACAGCCTCAGCACCGGGGTTATGGTTGGCACTGCTTTCCTCTATCACAATACCCTGGGCTCATTCTCCAGAGGCAGGAAACTGCTAACCCACCCCTAGGAACGTCGGCGTCTGGAAGTAGGGAAGTTGGTAACTTCTGCCTTGGAGTGATCCCATCTTCGTAGCGAGTAAAGGGCTGAGGGTCACAGAACAGCAGCAAAGCTGGCCCAGTGCTGCTCACCGCACAGGTCAGTGCAAGCAAGGTCATGGCAACTGTGGTATCAAGCCAGAGGCATATAAAAGGAGGGAGGTCTGGTTAGGAGACTGTGGAGTTATAATCTTAAATCTTAAAATGGAAATAGAAAAGTGGAATCACTCCCATGATGACAAATCTCACAGTTTGCCAGAATCTGGAGAGATGAGAGCATCTCAAGCATATCCAAGCAGGACTTCTGAGGATGGTTGTGTTCTCAGTAGTCCTTTGTCAACACAACTGCTGCAGAATAAGGGATTCATATCTTTGAATTCAGATGTCCCCGAAGGATTACACAGATATCAAAAACAGTGAATAGGACTAACAGTGCCATTAGAGAAGAAGAAGCTGAAGTAATTGGGTCCCGTGAGCCTACATAACCAGTAAGAAGATGCAAATTGGTGTGGTTTGTCCGTGTGACCAGAACAACAGGACTAGGAAACACAATTCTGCAGGGAAAAATCAAAGAAGAAAGGAAGGCAGAATGCCCAGGGACAGCATGACTCAGAAACATCAGCATCTGAATAAAGAAATGATGGGGAGATCTAAAGAGTAAAGGAAACATGAAGGCAGATTCCAGTCAGTCCCTAAAGATGACTCTCTTCAGAGCATGTTGGTGTAGTAAAAGGAAAGGTGAGACAATCATAAATATTCATAGCAGTTCATAACCTGGCCATGTCCTGTTCACTTACTGAGTTGCACAAAACGGAGTATGGTCAACAGTGAACTACTAATTCATGTTACTAATGCTTCAGTCATCCAGAAAAAAAAATTCAATTAATTCTGTTATCTTTGTTTCAGACTGCTCAAAATTGCCCATTGGTCTACCCATTTCCCCTTTTATTTCCTGAAGGTGACTTTTTTCTGTGGGCTTCTAAATATCAGGTAAAGCTCCATATGCTGTGGCAATACCTTTGGCTCACAGAGCCCAGCGTGCTTTTGCTGTTGCTTTTGATCATATTCTTCACATGTCACCACTGTTCTGGTGAGACACGGAGATTTCCTTGCTCTCCAGGTGCCCTGGGTGTAGTTTTATAAGCCCAAGACAGGTGAATTTTGTCTCTGCAGTTTTCAGCAG